AGAAAACAAAGCAGATCCAATTGCCCTGCGCAAAGGCATAGCAGGACCCCGGGCTTCTGTTCTCTGCACCCTCTGTGGGCGGTGAGAAATGAGGGTACCAAGGCAGAGTGGTGGAGAGGACTCGGAAGGCAAAACTCCCGGGAATAATCCCGGTGGCCAGTCTGAATTTCACTTGCTCGCTGGCTAACGACAGGCCCGGCGTTCACAGGGGCCAGGTGCAAACAAGGTCTGGCGGCCCGTTTCCTTTTCCCAAACAGCCTCAGCGCTCACACCCAAACTGAGGAATCAGGGGAAATCGTCACTGTCTCAATGTTGGGACCTTTGTAAAGGTATCAGTCTGCCATTTTACAGCGGTGACATTTTGGACCAGACAGACATGTTCTGGCAAAACGTATAGGGTCCCCGTGGTAGGTTTCAGGAGGTCACGGCAGTTTTTATTGTTTCAATCTGAAAGCACTTGGTGTGCATGTGTGTTTTCCGGAAGTTTGCCCGCTGTAGTAAGGCCGAGAAAGAAAGAACACGTCCGTAGCACACGGAAATCAGATCTTTATATGAATTTTGCGTCGGAGTTGCACAGTTTGAAGACGCTCACAAAACACATTTGCCACAGAGAGGCTATGAGTCGAATGACAGTCCCTTACTCAGAGCATAACCATCTCCTGAGCACCTCTTCCTCTGTTCAACAAAATTCATTTTCCTCTCCTTTCTTTTTGTCAAATAACAATTTTAACCCCCCCCCCCCCCATAATTAGGACTTTGGATTGCAAAATCGCATTCCTCTCTTGTCCACAGATTCTTGGATCTTTAGTGGCGATTAGAAAGGGGCATTAATTCACGAAGGGAGGATGAGGGAGGGGTGTTTGTGGACATTCGGGAAGAGGAGGGCAGGAGAGGAAATAGTTCTGTGCTCGCCCCCCACACCCCTCGGCCCCCGCCCAGCCCAGGCCTGGGTGTGAGCTACACGCGGGGGATTTGGATTCTGAGTTTATTCTAAATATTCTGATGGCCAACCTTGAGCATTTCCAAGCTAAGATTCCAAACCATGGTTTTTCCTTGTGGTCGGTGGTTTCAGTCAGGGAATAGGAGAGGCCACGAAGCCTTACAGAACCGGGCAGAGACGCGTGAAAACCGCTCTTCTGTGAGAATCCCCAAGGATGGCTGCAAAGGGGATCCTGGGCTGAAAAGTCCGGTCGGGGGTGCAGATTCCCTTTTGCAGCCAGAATTTGCCCCTGTCCCCCGTAAGTGGGTTCCTGGCCTTCTTTGAGGGCATTCTCCAGAAGGAATGCTCTGAGGGTCTCGGAGTGGATAGGCCATCCCAAACTAGGCCAGAGGAGCAGAGAACAGGAGGGGTCTGGCGTGCAGGGCTGGGGAGTGGTGCTCTCAGAAGCCAGCCTTCGCTTAAGATCCCAATCCAGGGACCAAAGCTAGGTCAGTCCCAGGGCCCCACCTCACCCCAGAAGTGATCTGCTTGCGGGGTGACTGACAAGGGACTGGCAGACCCCGAGATCGCCATGATTCCTAAGTAGAATTACCCATGTCCTGAGCTCCAGGGCTTTGGCCTCTTATCACCTGACCCTTGCCCCATTCCAGTGCCCTCTCTGTAATCGTTACCACCTCTTTCTCCCAGGCCTAGTTGCCCAGGGCCATCAGAGAGTCGGAGGTCATTGCCCTTGGGCCAGAAGGCAGTGCCCAAGCTAAGGTCGTGGTCAAAGTCCCTCCTGCCCCAGTTTAGGTGTGGCCAAACCCAGGGCTGGAGCGAAGGGCTGGCAAGCTTGGATGGGAGAGGAGCTGGGAGGTGGCTCTGGAATGTTCAGCACCGGCTGCGGCCTCTGGTGCCAAGGGTCTTGAAGCCTGGACCGCAGGAGATGAAGGCCCCGGAGGATGCTGAGGTTGTCCACCTCTGGGCTTCCTCTCCCGCCACCCCCCGCCCCGCCCCCCTGCACACAAACACTCTGTTCTCGCCCTGTCTCTGTATACACTCTTCGGGGCCCATTGCCCTGGCCACCACCGCCGGGACCTGACTGCTGGGGAGTCGTGGGGCCAGGTATGCGCCCCACGCTCCGGGGTCCGGGCTGGGACCGGGCTGGGCAAGGCAGGTGCTGAAGGACAGAAGGCAGGAACCGCGGGGGCGGGTCCTGGAGGCTGCGTGAGGTCACCGGGCAGTCCCTGCTCTCCCCAGGCCCCAGGCTGCGCCCGCCCGGGAGGCTAGCGCGCTCCTGGATGCCGGCCACCGGGCTCCCCTCGGAGAACCCCAGGATACCTCCCCGGCGCCCGGGGGCGCTAACCGCGGCGGTCCCCAGCGCGCCCCTGTGCCCCGCGCCCATCAGGCGCGCACGCCCCAGCGGGGGCCTCGGATTTGTATTGGAATTTGGTTTATTTTCCAAGAGGACTGCCCTGGCCAGAGTGGAGCGCCAGGGGACATCAAAACTGTCAGCTCTTCGGCGCTCCCCGGTGGGCGCAGAGGGAGGGAGCCTGATTCGGCCCTAAAAGGCTCCACCCCTCACCTTGGGACCCCCACCCCACCCGCCAGCGGACCCAGCAGCTTGAAGATCATCGGCTCCAGTTCATTTGATTTTTTTTTTTTCCTCTATTAATTTCCCGGCCTATTTTTTCAGATCTGTCTTTTTTCTTGCTCTGGTTAGAGAGAGGAGGGAAAAGAGAAAGAAAGAAGGAAACCCAGATAGCAAGTTTTACAGGCTTCCCAGAGATCTCTGTATGGTTGGGGTTTCCCGTGGTATGGTTTGATGTTCCTTACACAGGAAAGCGAGTCAAGCCAACTTTGTTAGGATTTCGACAGCAGCCCCAGCCAAGAGGGTCCTGCTTGCTTTCGCGGATTTCACACAGTGCTCCAGGCCAATCCGGGGCGCTCAGGCCCGGTTTTACCACCACAGATTTTAAAAGCACTAATTTCAGAAAGGAGTCCTCCCATGTAGGGCCTTTTACTTATGGAGACCCTCAGTTTCTTAGATCCACAAATACGGAGGCAAGGAACATTACACTTTCTTAAATAGATGTCTCTTTTCTTTTTCCGTCCCTCCAGGATGGATTTGGTAATGCGCAGAAAAATATGTTAAAACTGAAACAATGATCTCAGCATCTGAGACAATTTTACACCGTCAGATTGCACTAAAGTCCCTTTTCATAGAAGGGGGGGGGGAACCTTGGTAATCCTTCTAAGATTAAATCTGTGAAAAGATGGTATTTCAGTCTTTCCCTTTTCGTGCAATAAATGCAACATATTCTTTGATCTGCCATTTATCTATCAATCTATGACCCATCTATCTACCTACCAATCTAGGGAACCCTTTAACGCACTGTAGAGGGAGAAGCGACTGAAAGATCAATCTGCAGTTTCCACATTATAAAATAAACACGATCACATGACAGTGAATCCCTCTACTCCGTACTTTTGTAGGCATGAGCAAAACCTACTCTGAAATGTCTGTCTTAGGGTGATTTACCCATAAATCCTTCGCCTACTTGGGGCGATGCGGGGCAGTGCAGAGACACATGCTGACCATACACAGCGTATTTTCAGGGTGCCAGGTCCACGTTAATTCCCTGAGCTGTGTGGGTACCCAGACCTTTTAAAATCTCCCTTGGAACATCACTGCATGTTCCTATGCTATTTAAAAATACTATTTAATCATTAGGTGAATGTCTCCAACTGTTGGAGGCTCTGCGCTAACAGACGTCTGGCCTGGATGACACGATGGTGGTCCAGCTCGAAAGCCTCCGCTTTCGAGAACCCCTTGCCCCCACCACTCTTCCCCGGATGACTAGCCTGGGTAAAGCTGATGAGAACCGAGAAGCCGCATTGGCTTTTGGACTCTATTCAGGTGTAGGCACAGAATCTCTCTCCCCCGCCCTTTTGAAAGTAAATACCTTGATAACAGGATGGACTGCCCGGATGGCCAAAGAGTAGAGGTCATCTTGAGGGAAATGACACCAATGATCTAAAAAGGACATCTACTTTATGAGATTGCAGGCGAGATGCCAAATATTACATTTAATGAGGCCTGATTCTTTTTCTCCAAAAATAACAGAGACTGTCAATGAGACTGTCAGGAAGACAGAGGAGCATTTTGCAAAGCCTATGTTCAATTATTGCTTTGTAATATTTTTCTAAAATTGAAAAACGCCTCACAAGTATATGATCTCATGTAAATACTCCTTGAAGAAGCTTAACATATGTTTGCACTGCCCCAAAGGAATTACAAAAATATTCTTTCCGCAATCTCTTAAGCTTTTAAACTATTCACTTGCATTTCTAAAAGAATCTGTTTTTCCTAAAGTTTTTTTTTTTTTTTTAAACGGGGCGGTGGGGAGGGGGAACCTTAAATAGAAAGGGTTTTTGTTTGCTTGTTTGTTTGTTTGTTTGTTTAGAGATTAGCCCTCAGAACTTCAAATGAAGATCAATTGATGTTAGTGATAACATTTCCAGGTTTTTAACTTTGTGTTTTCTGTTTCCTTTTTTGTTGTTGTTGTTGTTGTTGGCATAGAAATAATATATTTAGCAAAGATTAATAGATACTATTACACGAAGAAAAGTAGTCTGGACTATAAGATTTTGAAGGCATTTCTAACAAGATGTGTGAATGGAGACCCATGATGTGCTCAGGGCAACTCTGACAGAAAGAAGAACACAAACCTGTTTGTCCAGGTGTTTTGTGTTTTTTGTTTTGTTTTGTTTTTTTAATTTTTTTTCAATGTTTATTTATTTTTGGGACAGAGAGAGACAGAGCATGAACGGGGGAGGGGCAGAGAGAGAGGGAGACACAGAATGGGAAACAGGCTCCAGGCTCTGAGCCATCAGCCCAGAGCCCGACACGGGGCTCGAACCCACGGACCGCGAGATCGTGACCTGGCTGAAGTCGGACGCTTAACCGACTGCGCCACCCAGGCGCCCCTGTCCAGGTGTTTTAATGCATAGTTATACCATCCAGAGAAGGGGCATTTGAAATAACCGGCGAGTTACGCCCAATGAAAATTTAAGTAAAGACAGATTCTATGGGCAGTTACAGTAGCCTACAGATTTCAGCATGTGTATATGTATAGCGAATTTGTTCGTACCCGTGATAATTTGGAGTTAACCAAATAAAAGTGTGGGGGATTAAAAGGAAATAAGCGAGTGTCCCTCTTGGAAGAAAAAAATCAGATTGACTTACTGGTTTATGGCAGTTATTGTACACAGATTCTCTGTAACCATGTTGAATTTTTAACGTTAGATTTTAAATATATTTTGACAGTCTGAACTTGTATGGTGTGACTAACTATAGGGAGAAATGACAGGTCTGCTTTGTTATTAAGCTGCTGTCTGGAAAATATTGGACTCTGTACAGTAAATGATAATTATTTTGCCACTTACATTAGTGCGGCTAATAGCAATAAGGGTTTTTTGAACCATAGAAAGCTAACTACTTTGAATTACTGTGCTTTGTTATTCACTGTGAGGCAAGAAGGCTTTTTTTTTTTTTTTTTTTTTAAAGCAACCTCATTTTCATATCCTGGCTTTAAGAATTCCCTGCTACTAATTTAAACAGAGAGGAAGTTAATAAATAAAAGGGTGGTATCTGAACGTTTCTATTTGTTGAGAGAACGTTTGTAGTTAAGGTCAGCGGTACCAGCAGAATAGACCAGAGCAAGGAAGGAGGAGGGGGGAAATGGAAGAGAATGTGCCCTAGCAAAGATCCAGGGGAAGGGGGACCCGTTGGGCTCCCAGAGGGATGGGCTTCAAAGCTGGACTTCAAAGCTGATCCAGACTGTCAGGCGAGTAAGTATCTCTACATCTCAGCTTCCTTGGGGTCAGAGCCGTAGTCAGAGGGGGTGACCTTGCCTTGCGTGCCATTCTCTTCCGTGTGAACCCCTCCTCTGACAGGTCTGAGGCCAGGATGTCAAAGCAAGTGGTCCTAAATCCCTCTTCCTTGGGTCTAATTCTGCCTTTTTCATAGATAGCTAGGCTGCCTTTGACGTACTGTCCTTGAAACCTCCTTCATGGTTATTAATTACCCTTTGTTTATTTTAATATATTTACTAAATCAGGTACCCAAGGGAATCCTCTACATCAGTGATGTGAAAAACCCTGTTGCCTGAAGTCAAAGAGGTACATCTTGATTTCTGATTTGCATGTGCTCGTTTGAATAACTTTTCCGTGAGGGAGGAAGCAAGCAAGCAAGGAATGCTGATAATTTCCTAAGTGTGAAAAGCTCCTGCTTTGGTAATTGTAGTCTCTGGGTTTCCCACGTAACTGAAACGGTGATCCGGGAGGCTAAAGGGGAGATCCAAGTATGCAGGACCAGCATGCATGCATTTCTGCATTTATCTCGTTACGTAGGTGTGGTGGACAGAGCGATCGATTGGGTTGGAGGAAACCTCACATCTTTCGCCTTAACCAGCATGCATCTCCTGACTCATGGAGCCAGGCCTGATGTTAGAACATCACGCATTTTGGGTGAAGCTGTACAACCAGCATCCGTGGTCGTTGGCCAGCTTTCCCTGGGCCTCGTAAACATTCCAAATTTACAGACTCTTAGGATTCACTCCATACTCACATTTGGAAAGTTTGGTGTCCCGTCAAAACACAGTATGTCCCCCTCCCCACCCCCGTATCCAAATGTGACTTTGGAGCCACTGCCCGCTTCGATTATAGGCAGAAGGAAAGAATGAGAGACGGGTGGGAGGCAGAAATCTCATCCTCCTCTAAAAAAAAAGAAAAAAAAGAAAAAAAGAAAAAGAAAAGAAAAGAAATTAAGATATTTAAATCGGTTCTCAATTGTAAGCATCCCAGAGTGAATTTAATAATGAAACCTCTTCATTTAGAAAGTGAGTCTGACACTTGTACCCCAACAATTATTTAGTGTCATTGTTTTATGTGTTCTTGTGACCTCTTATTGGCTGATGAAACAAAGTTTGATTTTTTTTTTTTTATTAAAAACTTGCTTGCTGAAAAATCTGCATGAAATACAGTTTTTGATTTCTAGAGAAACCGAGGAGGGGGGCAAAAGTCACACTGTCAAATTGCTACTCTTTGCGAAGGAGACACTTTAAGGATCCAATGAATCTGAGAGTGTTGGAAACCAGAACCCTACTTTCCCTCATTATTCAAAAATAGTGTCAGATTGCTTACTTTTACACACTGCTTGAATAACCTGACTGTGAATATTTAACTATGATTTCTTTCCTAGCCTTGCACGGAATTAACCTTTTCCTGAATAGTTGTCGCACACAGATTTTACCTTGATGTATATGTGCCTTGGGGATTAATCTGAGTGTCCACACGTGTACACGTACTTCGAATACTTTATTCCTCTCGTTTTTATTCCCGTCTTTTGTCTGTGTCTTTATAATTGCAATTTGAAAGCCATCTATTAAATGTGATGATCTAGGCCCACTGAAAGGTTTTGTTACATGGAAACCATCCATTCTGAGCAAAGAGTTAATGAACTTTTAAGGCAAGGTTCACAGTGGTCCTGACCCTCCTGGTAATTTTTCATATAAGGTTACGGGTGGGAGAGAAATCAAATTTCATCTGTGAATTTGATTGACAGGTGAGAGCAAGGAAGAGAAAGGCATTTGGTCAGATGGGGAATCTTGGGGTAGGAGGACAATTCCTCTGAGTTACTCCGGGATATTAGATATTATAAGCGGATATATGAAAAGTTCAATACTTGATACTCTTGGGAGAGTTACTTAGTGTATATTCAGAGAGTCACTTTGGCTAAGGGATTTTAGTAGTGAAAGTCAAAAATGGAGAGCCGCTAACTTTCTTCTCTCTTGCTAATTTCCACTATGTACAGCGGGTGGCTCATTTCTGGCAATCTTCTAGCTAGAGTAGGAAAATTAAATCACACACCATTTGGGAAGTCATTTAATTACCTTTCATTTCTTCTCAGAAACACAGTCTGGATTATATTATGGTTCTTGGGCCTATTACAAAATATTCATCTTAAGCAGTATCACAAAAAGATTAAATTCTCCTTTGCTGCAGCATCTCCGATCCTGACTGCCATTTTCTGTAGGTGCATGTTATATCTTAAGGTGTGCAAATCTACCCAAATTGCATGGTTTCTCAAGATCGTGCCTTCTAAGGAAGGTCTTCTAACATGAACGTCCACAGAGACCACAGCTGTTTGATGTCACAGTTTCCATGGTGAGCATCCTTGGGTAACGTGGCGTTAGCGCCTTGGCCATGGAAACAAGTGATGATGTTGCTTGACCCTAATAATACCAAAGGTGGCTTTGGAATCTGCCTTAGGGAGTGTCCCTCAGCTTGAATTAACTAACCCAACTGCCCCTGGTTTGCACCAATGTTGAAAGTAGGACTTCAAGACATGTTCTTTCGTCTTGTGTGCTGTAACACTGATTTGGAAGGTGGTGATGGATCTTAGCCTGCTCATGTCTATGCTCTGCCCATTTCAGATGTTCCTGACATTGGCTAAGACCCATCCGGAAGCAACCAAGCCTTACAGAGCTGCCTCGGGGCAGGGCAGGTGGGATACATACATAGGGGAGAGGCCCATTTGTAGCTTTCCTGTCGCCTATGGGAGAAGCTGATGGAACTTGTATAAATAGTATTTCCTGGGTTCGAAGTACCCATCAGTTTGTTTGTTTTTTTTCCCTCCCCTCTAGTGTTACACTTAGCTGAGTGGACATGTTTTATCCTGACTGTACCTATGCCAATCTGAATGCAAAGAAATGTAAGGAAGGGTTCATTGTTTTATGAACTGGGATTAAAAACCAAAAGTGAAACGAAACCAAGCAAAGACAGTAGAAGTGTTCAGAAATCTTTTTATTTTGTATAACTTGACCTCCCGTGTTGCCCATGAATCATCTAGAGAAATAAAACGCAAAGCATGGTTTCCCGATGCCCAGTGTCCACGTGGGGGCCTTAGCACAGCTGTTTCATTCAAACATAAAATGAAGTATGTCATAACCATGTTTCCCTTGCAGAGCCCATCAAAATCTTTTACCAGAAATGGTGAATCAGGTGTCCTCATGCAAAGGACATGTGAAAACACAGACTGTAAGTTCTGAATTCTTGGTGCCTCTGTTTAGAAAGCCCAAGTGAGAACAGTGGCTGATCTTGACTCTGTCTTCATCACAGGCCCCTCAGGGCTTCTAAATACTCCGTTTTTAAAGTACACCCTCCATACCCCCAGGCAGCAAGGAACAGAGTGCTGTCTTACATGCAGACTTGGAGCGGACCAATCCATCAAAAGTTCCATGAGTGTGTCTTAAGCGAATTACATCAATGGATTTGTTGGCACTGAGAAAAAAAAAAAAGGGGGGGGGGGATACTTTCGCTTGAAGTGTTTATTCCGCGGACTTACTTGTTTGTTTGCTGTTTGTTTATTTAGGTCATGCTCCCACATAACCACCGTCTCACCCCCTTTCTAGACAAAGCCTGCCGAATGTTCTTTCGGTGGGGACTGGCCCCCTCCTGGGCTGATGTAATCAATCGGGGCAGGGAGAGGATAACGAGCCATATCAAGTCATATTTTCCGTGAGCTCTAGGATACTCTTGAGGGGGCAATTTAAAGAAAGACACGGTATGCATTTAGGGGGGAAGAAAGGGAAGAAAGAGTTTTTGCAACAAGTACGGCACTCGTGACTTAAAACAAAGCCATGCTCCTGTAAAAGAGTGTTCCCGCTGAAAGCACACATTCAGTCATTCACCTGCAGAGCCTCAGATTTACTGCTGCCGTTCGCAGATGCCAGTGCTGAAACCCTCTTCACCTGCGGACTGCTGAATCTTCCATTTCCTCCATCCAAAAATCACTGTCAAGTTGTTGTTTAGTGTCTGCATTGTTTTGGCTTTTGCTGGCACCTAATGAAACTATCAGCAATAAATGAGCTAAGCAGAAGGGCTGGTTTTGATTTTGATTTTGTAATTTTTTTATTTTTTTTATTTTTTGGTCTTTTTGCAATATTTGGAAAAGGCTGGGACAAGGGTCAGCCAGTGGGAAAATTGGACGTGCCCCTGTTTTCAGCATCCACAGGAAATGTTACAAAGCCATTGGCGCATACATAGTTTCAGATGGGAAGTAGCACCAAGGAGGGGGAGGGGAGGAGGGGTTCCAGGCGGTGGGTGGAAAACGCAGACCCAGCTGTGGGAATCACAGGTCTTGTCACTGGAGACCACACAGGCACAGGAGCAGTGTGACCTCAGGTGTAAGACCCTGGACCTAATGAGTTATTCACATGCAACCAGTAAGAACGTCTTTTGTTCATTTTGGGTCTATTGAAAAGCAGGGTAGGTTCACTTGCCGGTGGGTAGGCAGTGGAGGGGAGAATGGAATTGATACGAAATTCACCTTGAGGTCACACTTCCTTTAAATTAGGTTCTACAAAGTTTCTTTTCTTTTTCCCTGACTCCTTCTGCAGCAGCTGTGTGTCCTGGGTTTACAGTGATGTTAAGGGGATTCTGAACCACGGTTGACGCCCCTCTGCCTCCAACAACAACGTGAATCAAAACGGAGACCTTTTGTTACCAATAGTAGTTAATCAAAGGGCTTGATTCTGTGCCGCTGTGGTGCATGCCTCCGGCTTGTTCATACTTGAAGACGAATTTCACCTGGCATGTACATGAAATGGGGGAAAGCTGACATGGGGGAAAGCTGACATGGGGGTCTCTTCCTGGGCTGAACGTTTTGAATCGGAGAGTAGGATTTCCTCTTTACCTTTCGGAAATTTCTCTTCGTTATTTTCCTGCCCTCTCTCTTTCTTCATCAGGGAGCTATTGGAATCCTTACAAAATATCTTACGGTGCATACGGTACGTTTCGCAGTGTTTGGAATCATGCGTGGCATTTTAGAAGGCCATGTGAGTCTGCCCGAGAGGATGCATAGCATCCCTCTCCTCTCAGCAGTAGCCAAGAGAAATCAGAAATCCCTTCACCCATATTGACCTTTTCGACACGAGCTAAGAACTGCTTTCTCTCCCACTCTTTGCTCCAGTGAGTAGCACATACAGGTAGCTCTGTGGTGATGCTCAAAGACTGTTTTGTTTGTTTGTTACTGGGCTCTCCCAGACTTTTTATTTTGTTTATTTATTTTTTATTTTTCTTCTCTTTTCTACTTTTAAAGCCAGGAAGCTCTTTCTCCCCACTGCACAGAAGGCAAGTGCAAAGCGCGCGTGCTGGCACGGGCTTTCACGGGCAGTTTGGAGGTTTGAGGCCGGGCTCTCCCTCACCGCAAAGGAGGGAGGGAGTGAGTTTGTGATGGGGACTGGATTTCTGGTCAGCCTCGGGGCTGCTTTGCTGCCCAGGGCTTATGGGTCCCAGCTGCCCTTCTCCCCAGCCGCCTTCCGGAGACCCCCTCTGCATTCCAGGCCCCTTGGCATCGCCGTCTTGCCTTGGACGCCACGGCTTTCCACGTGCTCCTTTCCACGTGCTCCGTGTTCTAATCCAGCCAGCGAATCAGCATGAGCAGGGCTGCTGCTGCCTTCACTATCGTCCCCACCTTAGCGGTTGGTGATGACCTTGTTGGCAAAAATGGGTGTGTTCTAAACACTAGTCACGGGGGGTAGTTTGGCAAACCTAATTATTCAGAACTTACCTGTTTGATCTGAGCTTCAGGTATTGACTAGCCTCCTGACCAAACCGAAAAGGTCATTGGCGAAATAGCACAGGACAGGTGCAATCAATCCTCCCCACAGACGTGCGGGCGGATATAACCCCCGGCTCCCGAACTGAGCGGGTGGGATTTGAGTTGGAGCCTCGACTCCAGCAGGAAAATGCAGGGTACAGCTTGGCTCCTGACTGAGAGCGGGAGGTTTTCCCTGTCCAGCTGGAGCTCGGAGATGTCACGGAAGCGTGGGGAAAGTCGCCCTGCCCCGGAGAGGAAGAACAAAGTAAGGAAGGATCTGTTTTTATTCTTTTTCCTTCTATTTTATTTGAGCCAGGTGATAGTAGCGATGAGAAACTTTCCCTGTTGCTGGAAAACTTTTGTTTTTTAAGGCATTGGTGGGAATGGGGGGAGGGAGTGTAGTTTCTGCAAGGTGTTTGTGTCTGTCTTGACTCGACATTTTACGGTGTCATTCAGATTCCCCATTCCCTGCCCCATCGTTTGCCGCTACAATAAAAAAGGCACCTCTCCATGTTTGCCACGGTTAACCGGTCAGATTTTCACTTTAGGGAGGATGAGTTCCGAGTGTGTGATTTCAACTGTAAATTCATCAGGAGTTATTTGCAGAGCTATTGCCGATATGCAGTTGTTCTGAGAATGCATGTTTTTATGATTTCTGTAAAATTTAATTGGGATCAGGTCACTGTGTGGCTTTGACTCAAGGACTTCTTTCTTTTTCTCCTTCCTCCTCCTTCTCCTCCTCCTTCTTTTTTTTTTTTTTTTTTTTTTTTGGTGTTGCAAGCTGCAGTAAGTGATTTGTAATTTATAATCAAAGTTTGGTATCGTTAAACTAAACTGTAAAAACTGGCTTTGGGAGTTTGCTCATAAAATAAATATTTGAAAAAATATAGCAGGGAGGCTTACACAGTAGAGGCAATGTCAGTACGTATATATCTGTGTAGGTGAATATATATGTATGCATATTTTTTCTGGAGACTCTTAATGCTAGCCCCCAAAACGCATCTTACAAAACTGTGACTTTCTGTAGCCCTTCCAGCCTGAGCGTAGTCTGATAAGCGTGTAAGCACATTTTCTTTAACGAACTTCTAATTTGTTTTTACAACTCCGTTCATAGTTCACATTAACTTATTTTTTCAGCTATTTTATTCTTACACTAAAGAGTCTGCGTATATGTGCTAGAATTCTCTGTCTGTAAGCTATAGTGCTCCTTAGCTAGAAAGACTTTTTTTTTTCTTTCCTCCTAACAAGGAAGCTCATTTAGAAAGAAATGTTTATGTGAAGTGCTTGTCAGTTGGCATTTTTACTGGTTTGCTAACCCAAAGGTAAAATATAAAGCCATGTCTATTCCTCGCTGGCTTGTTGTTACTAGAAGGGTCCCTCCCTTGTTAGCTTGATAAATAATTTTACTAGGGGGACTCTGCTGTATTTTTATGCTCGCTGTCTATTTTCTGCTTGCTGCAAATAAATTTCTGTACTCAGAGGGCACTAAAACTCCAAACACATGGTATTTTCCCATTTTGCTGCTGGTCGCCTGAAATATTTATTTCATCTCATGTTTTTAATTAATTTTTTAAAGGAAAAAAAATTTGTGGTTAATATCGAACAGAAATTTGTCATACATTTCTCAGGACTGTTGGGTTTGAACAGGGAAGGAGAGCGTTTTGAGATGCTTCGTGTGTCAAAGCCGGTCCCATATTTGTCAAATTGAAGACAGGAGTTATTTATTGCGGGTGGGGGAGGGTGTCCTGAAGTTTTCTCATTATAGATTTCCTTGTCTGTCTTTCCAACTTTAAATATTAAGCTGTTCATATGAGGAATGAATAGGGCTGTAGAATTCTATCTAGAAACAAGGCACTCCACAATAAAATCTTTACCTTTGAAAAATGATACATGGCACAAAAGTAGAGATGAAATCGATCATAGGTATCAATATAGATATGAGCATCCACCTGAGTCCCAGGCATTTTGACACGGGATTCATCGCTGGTGTGAACTTGGCATGGGTCACTGGGGGAAAATGGGTGGTACCTACCTAAACAAACACGCCGTAAAACAATCCAATAAAGTAAAATTAAAATTAATGTTTTCTATAATTAAAACGAACATAGCATATACTGGGTACACAATGAAATGTTGAAGGAAGGAATGACATACATATTGGGGAAAACAAGTGATCGTTTTAGATGAATGCCAGATTATTACACGGATTGAAATACAGTCTTGTTCGAAGCAGAGACTGCTTGTTATGTGTGATTTGTTATTTGCTTATCAGCAGGGTTTTATTTTGTGAAATTGGAAAATATTAAAAATTTTTTGTTTTAATGTTTATTTTTGAGAGAGCAAGAGATGGAGGGAGGGGCAGAGAGAGGAGAGACGGAGAGATAGAGAGAGAGAGGGGAGGGGCAGGGAGAGAAGGAGACACAGAATCCAAAGCAGGCACCAGGCTCCGAGCTGTCAGCACAGAGCCGGACGCGGGGCTCGAACCCACGAGCTGTGAAATCATGACCTGAACCAAAGTCAGATGCTTACCCCACTGAGCCAACCAGGTGCCGCTGGAAAATATTTTTAGAAACGTGCTAGAGACCTAAATTTAAGACCAGAAGGCCAGCACATGTCACCAACATCGACAGTATTGGGGAGACTGAGTCAGAGGTTATCTAGAGTTCAGTTTCTGCAACGATCACCACGATGAAGAAGAAAACCTAGATAAGGATTTTGAACACTGATTTTCTTGGGGGTTTGAACTCGGAATACTTGATCCACACGTTTTCACTAGAGATACATAGGTTGGTTACCAAAACATGTATGTATCTTCCCAAACGTGTGTGAATTTTATTTTCATATCCCGCTTCTCAGGGATTTCAGAAATTAGCTAGACTTCAAGATGATGACTTGTTTTCTCCTTTCAAGTCGGCAGTTTATAGACTGTTCAGAATCGGTCTTTGTGAGATTTAAGGGAGAGTTGATAACTCTGTACTTCTTCGGGGCGATGCCAATTGGTCAGGAGTTAGAGCAAACTTCCATGGGGCTGGAGACCATGATGTTCCATCCTGTTCTTTGGAGGTCATCCAAAGCCTCACAGGCATTGATGAGGACAGCTGCCATTGATCTAGGGCCTCCTGGGAGCCAGGACCTACGCCATCTTTGATCGTTACAACAGCTAGAGGGGCAGATATTTTAATCCCCTTTGTACAGATGAGGAAACTCGGGCAAAAGCTATTAAAATATAATTTGAGCCTCCGCTGCAGTCATGCAGATCTGTATTTCTAGATCGACCC